AGTGTTCTTTTTTATTATTTTATCTTTAAATGACACTGTTTATGGGGTCTGGTATGAATTTCAGTACATGTATTCAATGGGTAAAGATCAGATTACAGTGATTATCTGCGGCCTTGGACATTTTCACTTCTTTGTGTTGTGAACATTTAAGAAGCAATTTGGAACTTTTCCAGTCAGGGTTGTTAAGCACAGTTCCCCGCCTGTGCTGGAGATGTTAGATGCTGTTGCTCTTGTCTACCTGCACCAGTGATGTCCTCTCCCGTCTTCCCTCCCTGCCCTACCTAAGCTCTGGTTTCGCTAGCCAGTTAATGGCTTTCAGTTCTGTTCACCCAGAGTACTGCTTTTTAATATTTTGTTTATTTAGCTGGGTGTAGTGGAACATGCCTGTAATCTCAGCAAGCCCCAGAACGCTTGGGAGACAGGCAGGAGGATTGCTGTGAGTTTGAGGCCAGCCTGGGCTGCAAAGTGAGTTCAAGGCCAGTCTGAACAGCATAAAAAAACTTTGTCTCAAAAATGAAAAAAGATTTGTTCACTTATATTTGAAATAGAATCTATGTTGTCCAGGCTGGTCTTTAACTCCTGGACTCAAACAATCCTCCTGCCTCAGCTGTCTGTATAGCTGGGGCTACAGGTATATACTATTGTGGTCAGTTTGTTGCTTTTATTTGAAACAGACTAAGCACTGTATGTGGTTTAAAGAGTTATTTGGCTCTAGAAGGATTGTTACAAGGTCTGAGGATACCCTTTCCCCACCTCCAGGGTATCACCTCCAGTTCCGTTTGTTGACAGACTTTTCCGTTTCTCTGCTTATACTGATTTTTATTCCTCTCCAGCTGTAGGCATAATCCATGAACTTCTTGCTTCAGAAGATGAAGGTGTAAGGAACTCTTATAAGTACAGTTGCTAACCTTGTATTGCATCCTCCCAGTAGTGTGGGTTGCTGATGTGGATTAAGTCTGAATTCAGGCCCTTGCAGCCTTATTTTCAAACTATCTGCTGACTCTGGTCACTCCTCTGAACCTTTACTGCCCTGGTCTTAACCATTCTGTCAGACCTGGATGCTGGCACTGGTCTGCTCTTTCCGCCCTTGCTCTCTCTGTATCGCCTCATTCTCTGTCATCCTCCGTGCAGCCATCAGAGGCATCCCATTCAAAGAGACCTGAGGGGCCCAAGACCCGCCAAGATTCTGCCTGTCCCACTTCGCTTTCATCTGTGCTCGTGCCCTTTCCTTGCTGCAAACATTGGCTTTGCCTTCTTTCTGATAGAGTTTTTTTTTAATAGACAGTGCCTTGCCACATAGTTCAGGAGGCTAGCCTTGAACTCACTACGTACTCAGGGCCATCCTCAAACTTGCAGGGATCCTCCTGCCTCAGCGTCCCAAGTGCTGGGATTACAGGTGTTCGCCACCATGCCTAGCCTTTTTTCTGTACTCTGTTCCCAAGATACTTTGGGCAGTGTGGTCCACTCACATTCGTATGACAGTGTCCTGAGGTGATATGTTACCAGGAAAAGATAACATATTTCAGCATTTTGGCCTTTAGCTTTGGATGTCCGTGCAGGACACCAGCACTTGACCTGTACTTATGTGGGTCCCCTTGTGTCTCTTGGGAACATCGTGACCTAGTAAATGGTGTCAGGGCTGGAATGCTGGTGAGAGGGACAGAGGGCTCTGGTGACACAGGACCTGGAGCTGGGGAAGGAGCTGTGTCTAATAGAGTAAGCTGTTGTCATGGAAACCATCTGGGGCCCCTTCCCAGGGAAGCAGTGACTCACTCTCCATAGTCTCATGACTCAAAAACACCAGCACAGCATGGCCAGGCTTCTCCCCCATGAGCCTGTGGGACACTCAGGCTGCACCCATATCACACAGGGCCTTGGTACTTGCTGTCAGATGCCCAACACAGGGCCTGAAGCCTAGACACTGGTGCTGAGGCTGGATGGGTGGCTGCTGCTACCTAGGAAATGGCTTCAGCTTGGCTGTGGGGACCTCACGGCCACAGGCAGGACTTGTTCTCCCAGGGGACTCAGCTGTGCCCTGATGGATCATTGGTGAGACTCTAAGTGATGGGAATGAAATGGAGGAAGAAGATGAGGGTGGGGGGAGAAGGGTTGGGACAGGGAGGCCCGGTCAGTTGGGGCAGCACAGGATAGGACAGGACAGAAGCTGAGGCTGAGTGTGGACCCCGTCCAACGGCCCTGGGAATCCTAGACCATGTGACCTTTCAGACCTGCCACTGAGCCTGTCATGAATGCTAAGAAATTTATGCTATCTTTGTTTAAATATTACAATGAATAATAAAATAAAATATAATCTAGCATTTTACATTTTTCTCTAAAGGGAATTTTAGTGTCACAAACTAACAAGTACAGTGGTATTATTATAGACACTAAGTTAGATAGAGATAGTCTAGGGCAGTCAGATGGGGTTGCACCCTTGAGGGAGGCCAGACAAAAGGTAAAATCCCACTACAGCTGTAGCCGGAGAGGCCAGGCCTCAAGGTAACTACAAAACAAGCAAACCCACACACTCCCCAAGGAGGTAAGTGAGAACATCACCTTGAGGTAAGTGATGACACTAGTCTAATACAAAATCTAGATGAACATCGGTCACCCCAGTAGGTGGCCACCAACTCTGAATCCATCATCTCCCTGAGAAGTTCTTTGTTCTTTCCTTACCCACTTGTTATGTCACTTCTTATCCACTGGACAATATTACCTAACAGTTATATTTGTAATTTTATTGGTTGAGCCTAACTGTAACCTACACTGTACCCATGTGGATTTGCTGTATAAAATTTTCCTATCAAGTCGGGTCCCTGGGTTCCCATTTAGGACCGTTTCTGTTCCTCTGACAGGAGCTTTCTGTCTCTCCTTAAATCTTGCCTATTCTTACTCTTCATTGTTCCTAGAATTCATTCTTTGATTTTTAGAGAACATGAACTTGGCATACCAGACATCTAATAGATTAGGAGATATAATATTTTCATATTTCATCTCCTATTATATCCTGTAACAGTATCTTCACTTAGGAATGCTTTTGTCTGTGACTAATTTGGTTTGTAAACAAAAGTGCTTGATAGAGTTTTGTTCTTGTTTGAAAACTCTACATCAGGTGACAAACCTGACAACAGTTATCTTTCCTGCATAAACACAAACATGGCCATCTTTTCCAAAATCATGGAACTAATAAAATTTGTGAACTGATGTACCTCTGAATTTTATATAATTTGAGACCTTATCAATGCTTTGTTTTATTTTTAATGAGCACAAAATATTTAAGGTTATTTATATGGTAGATTAAAACAATTTGATAAATCTACATAGTGTGTAATCAAATAATGGCTATTATCATTTTCATGTCCTGAAGCTTTTATTATTATTATGAGGTAAAAATTGGAAAGTTTGGTGTTACTTTAGTAATTCTGAACACATACTGTTCTCTCAGTACCATGGTGTGCTATAGAAGACTACAACTAATTCGTCACATCTAACTATATTTTGTTACCCATTTTATAGCCTTTCATTGTTCTATATAGCCCATGAGGGTTTTTTTGCTTTTTTTTTTAATCGGTACCGGGATTGAACTCACGACCACCTGCTTGCAAGGCAGGTGCTTGTGTCCCTGAGCTAAATCCCAGCCCTTAAAAAAAAAAAAAAAAAAAAAAAAAAAAAAAAAAAAAAAAAAACCCTGTTATAATACACTTTAATCTAAATCCACAAAAATTCTTCAATTTAACTCCTCTAGATTTTTTTTTAATATAGAGGACTGGAGATCAGATGTAATGCATCTCAGCTGAGTTCCGGATTTGGGTGGTCTGCAGTCTCCACTGGGCCCTGTGTTCTTTTCTTTTCTTTCTTTCTTTCTTTTTTTTTTTTTTTAAGTCACTAGGGAATCTTCCCCCAACTCCGCAACAGGTTTGTATTTTGTCAATACCTACATGTAAGGACTACTGTTGGCATCTGACATACACTAAAAGATTATAGCTGTTTTAGGATCTGTTGGCGGGAGATAGAATTCTCAGTACATTAAAAACACTTGCAACAGAAGGCAGATTAAGGGAAAGGCGGCAGGGCCGTTGACAGTGCGCCATCTTCTGAACGAAAGTGGCAGGACAGATTGCAGAAATGTGACCAGTGAGTAACAGAAGCCGATACAGAACGCCAAGGAAACCTGGTGGAAACATCTATAACATCACAGCCTGTGGTGTCACCTTGCGAGGCGACACCTCCGAGGTGCCAAGGCTCGAAAATTTTGAACGATCTTAAACCCATGGGCCGCTGATGCACAGCGCAGACTGAAGGGAAAGAAAGGCTCATGACTTAACTGCAGAGATAGAGGTTTTGAGGGAGACGAAGCTTAGCTCACCACCGGGTGAATCCAGCATCCACGTCAGGGTTCTGACACAGCGAGGAGCGGCATCATAGTGTGATTCCTCATGTTTTGACGAACGGTTTCAGACAAGACAGCCGTTACATGGAGTGTAGTCGAGTTCATTGCAAAATGATAGCTTTTCAGAGAGAGAGAGAGAGAGAGAGAGAGAGAGAGAGAGAGAGAGAGAGAGACAGAGACAGAGACAGAGACAGAGAGAGACATAGCAGGCAAGTACCGAGAGGGCAGCTACTATGAAGTCTCAGGTTGTGTTCACACGATCACCCTGGTCTTTCAGGAACATCCTCTCCTGCTTTGAGATCATTGCTTACTGACCTCCGAAGGGAGCGTGTCTTGCTTACTCTTAAAGCTAAGGATTATGAAAACGAAGGGTGAGCAGAGTCCTTTGGAAGGGGTGAATTCCAAGCCATTCTTGTTTTCTCCTTTGGAAGTCAGTTTGCTTTTGAGTTAGAAATTTCGGGTTCAAATTTTCAACTTAAAAACTAGAGATGTTGAGACAAAGTTGGATTTACCTGGAGCCGAAGAGCCAGCCATCAGTTGACCTACAGACGTTCGGACCCTGATCATGCGTGGCAGACTACAAGTCCCAGGCTGCCTCGCGGCGCGCGCTGCTGGTCGGGAGCGCCTCCCATGATGCCCCGCGGCGTGCCCGCTCCTGTCAGCGGTCACCATGCCTATGAAGGGCCGTTTCCCGATTCGCCGCACGTTGCAGTATCTGGGACAGGGCAAAGTCATTTTTAAGGACTCGGTGAAGATCATGACAGTGAACTACAACACGCACGGGGAGCTGGGTGAGGGCGCTAGGTGAGTGGGGCAGCCCCTTCCCAGCGCGGGACGAGAACTGTCTTGTCTCCTCCCGGGTCCGCCAGCACCGCCACACGCTCGCGCGGACCAGGATCCCAGGCGGCACCTCCCACCCTGGTTTTGGGCCCCAAGGTGGACTTGCCTAAGCCGGAAGTCATATTTTTCATGTCTTGAGTTTTTGAAAGGCCAGCCTATCAAAGGAGACCTCACCCTGGTTTTCTAGAGTGTTTTAATTGCCTCCAGGTAGGTAGGTAGGATCCCAAGTGTCTCTCTGGTAACCGCACTCCTGGTGAGGACGCGCGCCTATCCCACTTGTGCCCTTGGGTTGAGTCCACTTACTCGCCCATTTAACCTGTCAGCCCCAGCTTGTCCTGTGTCCTCCGCAGTTTTGCTGTCCAGTGGGACTTTCCTGCAATCTGGGTCTTCTGGGGGTAGTGATGTGGCCCGGGACTTCTGGATGGGAAGTAGCTGCCCTCTGATGGCAAAGGGCTTCGTACTCCTCTGCATGGGTAGATGCCTCACCGCAGCCCCAGGATGCGGGTAGATGTGAGGACTGGATGGTGACAGGTCAGAGTGGTGAGAGGGGGCGGTGACAGTCGTGTGACCTGGCGCAGGTCACTTGTCTCCTGGCCCACTCGAATTGCAGCCCATGGTGCTGCAGTGTCCGCAGGGCACCGTTCTTCCCTTTCACACTTCAGGATGAACCAACCATCCGAGATCCTTGGTATGAGGTTGGCCCAGGCAGATCCAGCTATGTCCTGGTTTCTTTGTGTGGCTCTGATGCTTCATCGTGGTAACCTGCTGTGCTTGGACTTTCCATCAGTGCATTACTAGTGATATGTCAGGGAATTAGCCTTTTGTTTTGCAAACTTTTCTTTTAGTTTGGCAGATGTTGAATTTATTGTTGGTAACCTTTGCCATGCAGAGATCTTCTGGAGCCACTGTTCTGCCTCTGTCTGGAATATGAAACACTTTCATTTTATTTTCATGGTGCTGTTCACCAGTAGTTGACATGGTGGTCACCTCTCCAGTTTTGTTTTTCTCTTTCCACTTTGCCCTGGCAAGTTTCCTCACTCTGGTGCCAGTGTCCCTCTTGCCTCCAGCTGTGCTCTTCTAGCTGTGCTGCTCTGTTTCAGGGTGGGGGCACCTGAGAGTCCCACCAGTTCCTTTCCTTATGTTGGCAGGAAGTTCGTGTTTTTCAACGTCCCCCAGATCCAGTATAAAAACCCCTGGGTGCAGATCATGATGTTCAAGAACATGACCCCATCTCCCTTCCTGCGCTTCTACCTGGGTGAGTGAGGGGCTGTGTGGCTGCTGCACCTGGGCACTGTCACTTGGGCACTGTCACCTGGGCACGGGATGTCCGACACCAGAGGTGGAAGATGTGCCTGGGGAGCACGCCTTCTTCCCTGCCCCTTCCCTGAGCCTTCAGCTGGCTTGTGTCGCTTCCGCCTATGCCACCCTCAGTGCACAGCACCTTGGAGGGTGCTGTGCTTGGTTGTTTCTCGCAGAGGCCTCTTTTCTTTGTGGTTTTGAGATCTGCCTGTGTGAATGTGTCAGTACCTAGTTTTGTATTTGTTGGAGTTGGGGATAGAACACAGGGCTTTGTGGAGTCTAGGCAAATTCTATAACAGGCCACACAGAGAGCAGCGGATTTATTTGCTTTTGCTTTCTTTATTAGTACATGTTTACAGTACACAGTGAGTACATTCACCTTGGGGACTCATTTGTTCATATTTTGAGCCAGTCTCACTGTGTTGCCAAGGCTTGCCCTGAACTCCAGGGACCACAGGCAGCCCCTAGTGTGCCTGGCTTTAGTTATCTGTTTATTGCTGAGTAGTATTCCATTTAAGGAGCACCACAGTCTAGCCAGCTGTTGATGAGCCCAGGACCTTAGATTGACTCCAAGACAGAGGAGCTTGGCCAGAGATGAGGCCTCACAGGGCAAGGGCTAGGGAGGAGGGTATAGGCCGCCCACCCTGAGAAGGAGCTGCAGATGCCATGGCAGCCCTGAGGGACCTGGGGAGTACATGACAATGGTGCAGCTAGGTGGAGGCAAGAGTAGCCAAGGAGGGCATGGGCACTCAGAGATCTGCGAGCTCTGTGGGCTCTGTATCATGCTCAGTCTGAGTGACTGGTAACGAAGCAGGTTTGTTCCTTACAGTTCTGGAAACTGGGAGCCCATGGGCATGGGGATCCCTGGGGGCATGAGGCTCCACCTGGGGAGGGTGGCACACACCAGAGGGCGCGCATGGAGCTCCGATGCTCTCTGGGGTACTCTCTGGTGAGCCATCTAGCCCTCCTGTCTTCCTTACTTCCCTCTCTTCTGGAATGCAGGTAAAGCTTTGATCTGTTTTGGTCTGAATTGTTGATTTGCACATGGATATCTGGTCACTGGACAACCTGACTTCACTAGTTTGGTGTCCTGGCTGAGTCCAGCTACCCCAATATCTGCCAGCTTCATCTGCACCTGGCTCTGTCCACTTGGTCATGCAGCTGCTCAGGCTGGGCCCACACTGTCTCCCTCACAGTCACTTTTGCCTCATTGCAGATACTGGGGAGCAGGTCTTAGTGGACATGGAGACCAAGAGCAACGGGGAGATTGTGGAGCACATTCGCAAGATTCTTGGGAAAAGCGAGTGAGTCCCAGCATGGTTTGGGTAGTGGGAGGGAGGGTAGGGGTGCATCTAAAGGGAGCCCCAATGGTGGCACCAGCCTCATGGCTCATTGGGCCTTTGAAGCCTCAGCTCTCTGGGGTGAGGGCACCTGTGTTACATCCTTTTGCTTCCCATGTGTTCAGACACAGGAAGGACCTGTGGGATATTCCAGCTCCTTTGCCCAATCCCCAATCCCCCATCCCCATCTCTGTGCCCCCATCATGCCCTGCCATCTGCCCTGGCAGGGAGACGCTGCAGAGGGAAGAGCAGGAGAAGCAGCGGCTGTCCCATCCAGCTAACTTCGGGCCCCGGAAGTACTGCCTGCGGGAGTGCATGTGCGAGGTGGAGGGCCAGGTGCCGTGTCCAGGCCTGGTGCCCCTGCCCAAGGAAATGACAGGCAAGGGCAGGGCTGCCCTGAGAGCCAGTGCCCAGGACTGAGGTGCTGTGGGGAGACAGCCTCTGCGAGCAAGGATGCTACATGTGAGGACCACATATGAGGACCCTGCATGGGAGGGTGTGCAGGTTGCTGCGTGGACAGAAACCCCTACCCTGTCAATAAAGGCTCCATGCGCAGCCCAGCTGGATTTGGTCCGGGGGCGGGGGGGGGGGGGCTGTGGTCTCCTGGCTGGAGGGCAATAGAGTTTTAGAGTTACACTGTCATTTTCTACCTGCGTCCTTCTCCCAGCCTCCCCTGATTAAAGGTTGTTGGGTCACTGGACCCCTTTTTAGGGCTGGTCACAGGTCTCCATGCAATAGTGGGATCCTCAGGCTGCACAGGACCTGGGCTTGTGAAGGGCACTTGGCGTGGCCTGTTGTGGCCAGGAGGCCATGTGATGTCTTACTAAGCGCTTGTCAGCTGCTTGGTCCCTTGGCTTCAGCCCTGTCACTTCTAGGCACTGGCACAGTGAGGTGGCCCTAGGGCTTCTTCATGCTGGAGAAGGCTGTCTGCTGCACAAGGTCACTGGCCAGCATGGTGACAGAAGTCAGTGTGATGCGTCAGCACTGGAGGTGACAACACTGGACAGTTTGTGTCTTTTGTCTGCTGCTTACGTTCTGGTTTGTGGTTCAGGTGAGGGTGGTGGGCAGGGGCTCTGCCATGTGACAGACAGGTGTGCGTGGGTGACCTTGTGTACCAGGGTGACCTTGTGTACCTGGGTGGCCTTGTGCTCTTCGCCCATGGGGTTTTGGAGCAGGCAGAGGAAGTATTCCTCTCTGCAGTGTGGGGCAGGCAGATGATCATCTCCATGGCCACCCTTACCGACGGCATGGACTATCCCAGACAGACAATGACAATTGGAAGTCAGTGCCAGTGGGACTTCTCACCTAACCTTGTCTGGTTCTTTAGTGGTGGTAAAAGATGGGTTTAACTACAGTTACATGGAAATGGGAAAAATCGGCAAGACTTTGAGGAGCAGTTTGCATGCGAACACTCCTGTTCACAGAGCTGCATTCCCCAGATGGTTCTAGAAGCCCTTGTTTCTGAGATGTGACCATCTTGTTACTTTGTGGTTTGCTGGGCCATGCCGTTTTTTAACTCTGGCTGCACTGAACTGAAAGAGCCTGTAAAATGAGTGATTACATGGCATACTAAGTTCACCCGACTTGGAATCCATTTTTTTTTTTTTTTGAGACAGGGTCTTGCTATGTCGCCCAGCTGACCTTGAACTCACTATGTAGCTGAGGCTGGCCTTGCATTCACAGCAATCCCCCTGCCTCGGCCTCCTGACTGTGGGGATGACAGGCATGAACCACCATACCTAGCTAACTTCCAAATCTTTTAGTGCACATTTTCCCCAGGAAAGTGATGGTGGAACCCTCTTGGGAGGACTTGGTGGCTGTGCTCTGCCCTCTGGACACCCACATGGCAGCCTTGTCTCACCGCGGCTTCCCACTCACGCCTATAAGCCCGGACCTTTGGTTCATTCTGGTGGCTGGGCCAGTGTTGCTATTGCTGAGGTGAAATGAGAAGCGGTGCAGTGTCTTTAATCCACGTTTAATAGTATAAACCTCGTGTAGGTAGTAGTATTAAGCCACAACAGTAATGCCACATTGAAACAGCATTTAATAAAATGCATAAAGCTAACTCATGCACTGCGACACTCTATATACAAACACAACAATGCAGATTCTTCAAGACTGAAGACACTGATTAGATATAAAATCCACTTTAAAAAGAACATGCTAGTTTTTAAATGCCATCACGTAACAAAGTTGATTCGTACAGGCAGGAAGCTGTGTAAAGCCACAGCTTCCAGCAGGTTTGGAACCTGGAATTAAAAGGTAATGGCATGAACAGTATTTTCTATCTCATGAAGGGCAGAGGTTATAGAAACGGTCCCAAGAAAACCTAACACCTGGTTCCCCTTTAACAGACATCATCTCAAATGGGCTGGTGACACGTGTTAACAGAGGGCTGAACGACAGCAGGAACTACAGGTTTTGCTGAGAAAGAAGTGCAGCTTTTTGGGTATAAAACTAGTTGAACACTGATTTCAGGGTAGAAAAAGGTTCTAGCATTGAGTTGTGTGTGGTGGCAGTGTTGAGTCCATAAGCAATGTTATAGCCAGCGAGGTGACTGTGACGGGTTCTTTACAAAGAGCTGGGTCCGTTGTCAGTGTGCCCCTTCCTGGTGTTACCTCTATATTAAACTAAAGCACTTTCTTAACTGGTAAATGGTGTTGGGGACTTTTGTGTGTAAATATTGAGACCAAAATTTAGCTTCTTAAATGGAAATATAGCAGGGCATTAAAAATACCTACTTCTCTTTCCCCCAAAAGATGTTTTGAGTTCCCAGTTTATTAGATTGCTAACTTAACAGCCCCAAAAAGATATTTTAAAGTCAGTCAGAGACAATCAGGCTCCCATACTGACTGGAAAGCCGGTTTATTTAGTGTGATTGTCACAGTAGGCCAGGGTTAGGACTCCGTGGAAGCTCCCATGACATCAGAACAGGGATTTGGAAGGTTCAGTGACCCACATCTCACACAAGGCACTGAGTGCTGTGGCCACATGAAGTGTTACTAAACGCCAGGCCAGCTTAGTTCAGACCTGAGGCTCCAGAGAGCTCCTGTGCCATCTATCTGCAGGTCCCGTGTTTCAGTGGAAAGCTGGCTACAGGGAGAGAGCGCGATAGATCTGGCAAAGAAAATTGGCTTCTACAGTTTTAAGGGCGAATACATCCACACTGAAGTGGGAGTTTTTACTCGAAGAACACAGACCCTAATTTATGGAAAGTAATTAAGCCAGTGGGTTTCATTCACATGCGCCCAGTTGGAAAAGTGATTTAAGGTGCATAGACTCTGTGAGCTGGCAGCAGTGAGGCCTGATTAACATTCCCAGGACTGGGTTTGTCTGGCTGGGGCCTGTAGAGAAGACACATGCTACTACCCTGTAGTGGCTCTACAGACAAGCCATGTTCAACCCTAACCTGGCAAATGGCTCTAGTGCCTGGGGAGGCTGCTGGCTGTCACCAAGATCCTTCAGTCAGGCCAGAAGCTAGTGTAGAAAAAGCCACCACCCAGTCCTGCCTGTTGGGTGGTAATTCTCCCACCCTGGCCCCTGGGGCCTAGAGGGTACAGACCAATGCCTTGGGCTAGACTGCTCCTGTCTGAGATCCTCCTGGGTCCTGGCCCTTCTCACAGTCCCTTAGAACGCCCACATCCGGGGACGTTGGATGCTCTGCTAGCTGTCACTGTGGAGGCTGGGTGATGGCTGAGACTGTACACATAATTTACACCTATGTACACAGATGCACACCATGTATACTGTATACAGGCGTGGATACTCAGGAGACTTGGGCAAGCCCTGCTTGGATGGAGGCTGGTTCTGGATGTTTCTCAGGAGCCATGCTATCTAGAGGCTGAGCTGGGCAGAGGGAGCAGGTGGGCAGAACGGTGTCAGATGGTACCCTTCATGCCTGGCAAGCGGAGCACCAACACCATCTGCCACCCCACTGCACATCACAAGTTCACACTGGAAGGCAGACAGTGAGTGTTAGGACTCTAGGGACAGCAGACCCCACTCTGGGACTCTTCTTGAGGGTAGCACTCGCCACCTCAGAGCCTATGATCTTTGGCCCCCTGCTAGGGTTCCCACAGTGTGGATATAGGACCACTCTGAACAAAGCTGCTTCTAATACTTACGTTGACAAGCCAGATGATAGCCTGTGAGAGCAGAGTGTGACTACCTGACGTTAAATAAAGCCAAAAAAACCAAAGAGTCCATGCCACAGAGGCTGGACAATAAATGCAGCTCCCCTCTACATAGTCATCGCTGCACACTAGAAGGACCAACATACCTCTAGACACCTTCCAGGAGGAACTTGAGGATCACTGCCATACATAGACCACACAACTATCCTAAAACAGCACTGTTTGAAGTGCTTCTGGAAAGACGTGGCCAAGAAATGACTGCATGTGCCTGAAACAGCTGTCCACTGAGCACTGGTCCCACCTCATGGGCCCAGGGCATACCCACTTCCTTGAGCTGAGGACTGAGGACTTGGTGAAAACTATGCTAATGCACAGCCTGCGTGAATACCTAAACCCATCTGACAAGATGCACAGTTGAGGGCTAGAAGTAACTTTGGGCAGCAAGATCGTGGGCATGTGAGGTGACCTTAAAGACAAGACGCTGCAGAGCAATGCCAGGGTCTGGGAGGTTCCCATGCCACTGGAATTGGCCAGCACTGGTCAGTCAGCAGCTTCTCACATAAAGCCACTCTTCTGCAGACCTGGGCCCCTGACTTCTGCATGTCCCTTGTCCCTTGAGAGTACTAATACCAGATCCTGAGGAGTAGGGGGCAGCTGTGGCTATGACAACAGGACATACTGCCCTTGGCAACACCCCAACTGGAATCCTTGGTAGGTAGAAGAAGGGGGCCCACCAAACCCTTCAGTCCTGGCTAGTCTTTTTAATTTTAAAATTTAAAACACTCAGGTTAGAAAACTAAGTCATACTTAAAGCTGGCGAAATTACATCATCATTTTATACTGGCCACCTGATGTCCCCAATACCTGCCTCCCAGGTGCACCCAGTTACAACACCCCAAGATCCAATGGCAATGCAGGAGCCAGAGATGCCATGCACACTCAGTTCCACTGAGTGTGAACAGCAGCAGCTAGCAACCCTAGGGACCCTCTGTGCTCCCTGGAGCTGGCACCTACTCAGCTGGGTGCTCTCCAAAGCCAGATCTGACCCACAGTCCTGGCAGATGCAAACTTCACCCTACAGGAAGGGCTTTCTTACTCCAGCCCAGACAAAAACCAGGGTGTCTGACACAGTCTGGCTAGGAGTCTGTTTTCACTGCAAACCAGTTAGTGTCATTTTTTGCAGAGAATGTGGCTGGATCGGGGGGGGGGGGTCCCTGATGTTTAACCAACAGCAAAGAACTATCCTGTTGCACACAGGTCAGGTGAAGGCGTGGCAAGGCCCTGTCTGGCTGGACGGCTGCAGTGCCAGAGAGATATATAGGTCCTTCTCCAGGGCACCAGTAGAGAGGAACAGAAGCCATTTGAATGAGTCCAAGGGCTGTCAAGGTCCCAAGTGTCCGCCATGCATGTTGGGTCAAGAGCTCTGCTGCTGTGAGTGGTGGTGACATTTCCAGTGCCAGTGGAGTTGGGTGAGGGTCTGTTGAGCCGCACTCTGATCTTGAGTCCCTTAGCACAGAACCCAGATTCCGGCAGTCTGTAGACACTCACAGGCCAGGACTGTGACAAGCCTCAGCCCACGGCTGGTGGCTTCTGGTTTAGATCCCTGCCACTGGGCCACCATGCTCCCATGGACAGTGTAACACACTCTGACACCCGCGTGCACAGTCAGAAATGATCCTTCCTTCCTTAAACGCTTGATTGTCTCCTGTGGCCCAGTGCATTTCCACAGGGATCATGAGCATCTTGGTAAAAGACAGTTTCCATTTGCCCTGCCCACAGGCAAGATGCTGCTAATGTCACAGATTCTAGTAAGAAGTGCTTAGAAAGTGCTAATGTTGTTACCCTGGTAATTAGTAGCTATTAATTCCAAGGATTTTTTAATATATTTACACGCATACTGTTCTCTTAGGTTCTTTTAGTTTTAATACTAGTCTCTGACATTATAAAACTTCATTTTTTTGCCCTTTGAGAAATTCTAAATACAAACTGAGTTCAAAAGATTGTTCCAAAGTCAGCTGCTTCATCAAAAGGCATGAAAACATTTCTCACAGCAGGAAAGGATCCTAGTCTTTAGTCAAGACTGCTGGGGTCACAGTAAGAAGAAACCAGGTGAAGAGTGGCTGACATGGAAACATCTGCACATATCGGACTCCGTCCGCCACTGTCTTCTGGGCTTGAGGGGCCTAGGAGCCCCCACCGGCAGGGCGTAGTGCCTATAGGCTGGCTCCGGTGATCTGGCCATTGTACTCCGCTGTCTCCATCTTGAGGATGTAGGGGATTATGCTATCTATTGAAACGTTGCCAATGAGGCCGGTAAAAAAGAGTTCTTCTGTGATGTTGGAGCTCATCAACCTGAGTGCTGGCAGGCGGACGAGGATGCGGGCCAATCTGCAAGAGGACGAAATGTGAGACAAGGGGCGGATGCTGCCTTGACTCAGGCTGGCTACTGAGCAGACCCCACCCACCTGGCATCAGATTCCTCTCACAGGAGTCTGGAGGTAGAAATGCAAAGGCACACATATGTGTGTTCTCTCCATTTGCGTCTGTCGCCACCCTCTATTGACTCCACAGAAAACAGCATGTTAGAAACCCAGCAGCAGGTGGGGGTCTGGGCCTAATACCTACACTACAGGGAAGACCATAAGAATCCACACCACAGAGGACAACAGACCACAGGACACTGCTTGAGCCATGTGGAGTGCACACACATCTTGATGGGCATCGCCCCAGTGCTGAGTCTGGGTTCTGGGGTTGGAATGACTGTCCGAGGAAAGCTGTCTGTGTGGCCCTCATTTCCTGTGTCAATAATGCAAGTGGACAGTAACATAGATTCATCCAAAGAAACCCTGGCAGGCCACAGCCCAAACTGGACTGGGCTGCCTTCCCATAGCAGGGAGAGGTCAGCTGTGGAAATGCTCATTTATGTTTAATGGAAAAAAAGCCTTTTGGGTTTTATGATCCCAATCACACTATTATAAAAGTTTCTGGAAGTAAGTACATAAAATGTTAATAGTTGGTATCACCAATAGTGCTTTTCATTGGAGTTAAGTTTTCCCTCTCCTTTTTGCTCTCTAGGATGTCTTGTTACTACAGTGAGCACATTTTCAGAAGAGAGCACACACCTAAACTATGCATGGAACATTATCCATCTTGCCAGGTGCATGGAGGAGGGATTGCACCCAGATCCCAGGGACATATGGGCTGCAGGCTCTGGAGGTGGCAGGGCTGACTGGGGGGGGGGGCATGGTTCCTGGTGGTAGCTGTCAACAATATATGGAGGGTCCTGGGAGAGTTCAGGAGCACCAGCTAACAAAAGAAAGGGCCCCAGAGCACGATAGCCTGGCCCATGAGGATCCCAGAGCTAGTATGAGCTCCAGGGTTTTTTCTTGGGGGCCTATTTCTGAGTGGGTCTCTCTCTGGGTTTCTCAGAAAAGTCCAGCTCATCTGTTAACTCCCATAATCCCAGCTAGCTTAGGAGTGGCTGAGAATTTTTTAGGACCAGCCTATCTACTCTCCAAGGTCACAGGGTAGTGATCTAAGGAGCCCCTGGGTGTGGCGGCCTTGTGGGCTGGAGCTGGCAGGTGGTGGTCAGGCAGAGGTCATGGAGAAGAGGCTGATACTCACTGGTGTGCCCACTTAGTGACCCCATCACATGGAGAACCACTGGGGACTGTTATGGCATTAGCTCAAGGCTCTGCAAGGCAGACTGGCCCTGGGCTATACATGGTGAGCTTGTGGACTGGGTTTCATTTGGGGACAGGGCAGGGAGGGAAGCAGGCAATGATGTGCAAGGTGGTGATGGCAGGGACTTGCTCTCTGTAGCTCTGGCACTGTGCCCATTTATACCTTGACTAGCTGCCTGCTGTTACAAACAATACCTATAATTAACTTTCACCCAAATAAAGGAATTTTTGAGATCAGTTTTTCTGGAGTAAAGTCACTGACTTTCATAAACCCCCACTTGGCCCTATTGAGGGCTCTGTACTGTTCTAGGGGGCAACAGAACACGGACCTCTGTAAGGATTCAGACCACTCTGAACTAGCTCGGGGATCACCCAGCCAAGTGCAGTTTGAGGTGTCGCCTCAGGTAAAGCTCTGGGGGGCTGTTCTCACCGGTAGGTGTCCTCGGAGTAGGTCTTCTGCACATAGTCCTGCAGCTCCATCTGGGCCTTCTCTTGGAACTTCTCAATCTGGCTTGTGCCCGTTAGACCCGGGTGGTCTGAAACAGGAAAGGAGCCCAAGTTTCCCTCTACATTTGGGAGGTGCAGTAGCAGACTCCCTAGAATTTCACTTCAGTCAAATCCTAACAGATGCTCAAGCACGGTGGATGAAAAGCTGGTATAGCTGGGACAGAGGCTCAAGTTTTGGGGCCCCTGGCCTGGGCACCCTCTGCCTGAGTGGCCCTGCCCAATGACTGGATGTTATCTTCCTACTACTGTAGGAAACACAGACCCTAAAGTTATGATTAGGAATGACTACTTTCTAGTTTATATGTCATCTCTCCTATTTTTATTAGCTATGTTAAGCTTAATTAGGGGGAGGAGAAAGGTTAAGCATGCCCAGCTGCATGTGGGGTCAGCAGCTGCTCTAGGGGCCAGGGGATAGGCAGGGGCCTCACTCTCCACCATGGCCCACTGCCTCCTCTTTACCTGCTTCCAACAACCTGCCTGGTATGACCTGCAGTAGCTGGCCCGACTGCTGCCCTAGGAGGCTGCATCTGCCTGGTTTGGCATGCCAGGGCCCTGGGCATTGGCAGGGCTGGAACGGAAGTAGACAGCACCAAGGTCACGGGCCAGATACCTGCTCTGCATGCTGCCATCCTGGTTGGCAGCTGGGACCCACCAAGCTGCTCAGTGCCTGGTATCCCAGGCCAGGGAGCATTTCTATGAGCTGCAAGGGATGGGTTTAGAATAGCTGCACAGCGAAGCCAACAAAGCATGGGGCACGAGGACATGGGTCACACACAATCTGGTGGGGCTCTGTCTACACTGCCAGTGACAACACGATCACTCTCAGAAATCACAGCAGACACAGTGGAAAGGTGGCACATCCCCACCGCATATCTTACCAGGGCTAAAGAGAACTATAGCTTTAAGGTATGCGTACTCGTAGCCGTCTATCTCCAGCCTCGCCATGCTGTTGCAGAACTCCTGTAGCTTCCAGATGTGCTCCATGACCTGCTTCACGCGCTCACCCGACAGCTTGTCTGCAAGGCAGCAAGTATTCTGGCTAGCAAAGGCCTGACAGGGTCCTCCAGCCCTGCCTGCCTGGCCCAATCCTTGGACCCACCCGAATGTTAGTCTGGCCCAGCTGGTTCTACCTTCCTGGATGCTGTTCTGCAGATGGTTGACGATGGCCGCCAGAATGGTGGACAGGCTCATGACCTGTGCACACTGCGCCAGGCCAAGGGTGAAGAGCTCGTTCCAACAGGCACGCACCAGGCTGGTATTGCAGTCCTGCCTGTGGACAGAGGGGTGCCAGCTGCGCTGCATGCTTGGCCTGCCTTCAGGCATTCCCACACATCACTGATCCAGAGACTCTGCAGTTTGCAGGCCCTGTCACTGTGTGCCCATGTTGTACCCAGGTAGCATCAGGACACAGTGGCTGCCAGGTCCAGGCTTGGCCTCAACCCTCAGCACACAGGGCACTGACTGAGGGGTGTACAGTATGGCACAGCCACTCTCTGGCCACTTACCCCAGTGCCTGGAAGGCTGGGATGGAGCGTGCCCAGTGCATAGACAGGAAGAGCAGGCGTGACGCAGACTCGCAGATGTAGTGCACATTGAGGTACTCAGGCATTGGGCTGGGCATTGTCAGCTGCAGACATAAGGTATAGAAGTTAGGCATGCATGTGCTGTCTCAGCGAGCTAGGGTCTCAGCCCCTGAAGGGTAGTGGCCAGGCCGAGATCTGTCCTGCTTGGGTCTAGAATATGAGCTAAGGTCTAAGTGGGATCCTGGCACAGGGTCGTTCTACAGGGAGCTGACAGATGCTGTGTGCTAAGGCAATGCTCTTTCATCGTGGAGCAGTATCTTGTCCAGGGCAGCCCCAGGCAGCATGGAATGGGACCCTTACTTTAGTGTGATCACTGGATCACTAATGCAGGGCGGAGGGAGCAAGACAGTTCCCATACTAGGACCTCAACACCCTGAGAATGGCCCTTCTACTTCCTGTGGCTCTGGAGGAGAGTAGGCAGATGGATGGCTCCCACACCAAGTGGCCACAGGCCATCAGTGCACCTTGAGACATGACAGCCCTTACAGAGACACTGCCATGGAACCCTGCCTGGGTCCTGGGGGCTGGCTTGGTGCAGAGCCCCTCACCCTGTGCCACTACTTACCTTGAATGTGACATGTGTATCTGACAGCAGCGGGCCCTCAACCTCAATGATGGGTGTTGACTGGTCCCTGCTGATGACATGGATGCCACCTCCTCCGCTGGCATCCAGCCCGTCTGGCAGGCCAGGGGGCGAGGCGCCGTCTGCAGTGTTAAGTGCTTTGGCTAAAGTGTCAAATGCCCTGCAAGCAAACAGAGTGGGCTGTGCCATGGGTCTGCAGCTTAGAGGCCCTGAGCCCTTCAGCCACCACAAGGGACTGCAGGCCTCACATAAGAAAGGGGTACCCACCTCAGGCCCAAGAAATATGTCTTAGGGGGGACCCCTAGCTTGAGTGCTCCCTCTTACACCCACCCTCCAGAGAGGCAGAGCTTCTCTTCACCTAGATGTCACTGCTCAGTGTTAATAACCACCCCAAACCGCCATATACTGAATTTCCTCTTCTGTCATGTGGGATGAAAAGCAGTGTCACTGTGGACATGTCCACTTCACAGTCCTTGATCCTCACAGCGGCAGTGTAGGTCCCTGGCTCATACCGGGTGATCTCGCTGGCAGACTGATCCTCTGGCTGGATGTCCGAGGTGTCGCCATTGTTCAAGGATTCACTCAGGTTAGCCAGGGAGGTCACAACATTTGCCAGTGTGCCCAGGGCTCCCTGGCTTGTCTCAGCCTATGGGACAAGAGGTGATGTTACTACAAAGGCACGCACAGGGCAAAGGGTGTGTGATGTGATTCAGACGCTGCTTCCAGGGGCACATGAAATATGAGACGACAGGAACACTGTGTCTTGGATGTGGCGGTCACACAGATCCATGCCCATACCACAGCACAGGGGTAAAATGATAGAAGTAGGGCTGGGGGTTAGCTCAGCAGCACAAGCCTCTGCCTGGAAAGCACAAGGTTGTGAGTTTGCTCCCCAGTACCAAACAACAACAACCAAATGACAGATGTGAAATGGTAACTGGACTTCACAAAGCAAAATGCCTGTGCTTCAAAGGACATAAGCAGAAAGTCATACATGTGTTCAGGTCCTGGGATGACAGGGTTTAGTGGTCAGGGTTTAGTGGTTTTAGGGTGTCTAAAGGCCCCATTCTACATGCTGAGGACCTGAGACAGTGATTCTTCAAAGTGGGGACGGTAGCCAGCAGACACAGGCAGAAGCATGGTGTGGCAGGAAACAGAACCAAGGCCCTAGTGGCCCCACACTGATACCCCCAAGGAAGGGCAGAGCCAGGTCACAGTCACAGCCCTCGAGCGTGGCTGATCCTCACAAGCAGCAGTGAAGCTGTCGCCAGATGATCTGCACCTCCCATCCAGAGTAGACATTGCCAGCACCCAGGAGTTGGTGCCCAGGTGAGCATGGTGTCACAGCCACATCATGTACCAGATCAGCAACACCGAGGAACGACCCACCCCGGGGACAGTCGCACACAGTGACCATGAGATGAATGCCAGGGACTGCGTGCACAGCCCCTTGGTGACAGAGACACAGTGGGCCTGCTGAAGGAGTGAGTGGCTGCTTTCAGGGGTAAGGGAAACACACCGAGGGAGTGGCATGGCTGCAAAGCCATGTAAACTGCTCAAAACAAATTTCCCACCAGAGCCTGTGTGGTGTGCAATGTGGCTTTTACTTCAGTTATGAAATAAGCAGAGATGAGCCAAGATACAGGGACGTTTGTCTGTGTGTCTTGATTATGAAAGGGAGACACTTCATGCTGCACTGCCAACATGTACTAGTAAACATTTCCAAAAGTTAGTTTTTTATAGACAAACAAAATGAACTGCAGCTTTAGAACAAGTCAGAAACAGAAGTGAAAACTAAAATCCACAGAAAGGTCAAAGTCATTGAGTATCCCAAGGTCCTGGAACAGGAGGAGTCAGGGAGGAGGCTGCAGGATGCATGGCTCAAGAAGGACATATTTGGTCTGTAAGGCCACCGGGCCCAGTGTCACACTGTGCATTGGCTCTGTGTGACAGAACCGCTGGGGACTTGCTGCAAGGTGCCTCTGAAAGCTTTGTAGTCATTTCAATGTCAATTATTTTGAATACATGACACTTCAAAGTAAAAAGTTGACAAACCTACTCCTACAAACACTACTTCAGGAGCTCTCCATGTGTTCTCTTTCCCAGCATCCTCTCTGGGGCTTTCTGGTGGCACTGCCTGGGGGGGCGGGCAGCCAACTCTGGAGACCTTTTTGACTAGGTAAGTGCCACACAGCTTTTGTATTCATTCTCCTTTCTCCAGTGACAATAATTAGATCTCAGTAGTTCACAGGAGTGCTCACTGTGTGATGTTACAAATTAACTACCTCTACACTGGGGGTGGTGCTGTATGCCTGTAACCCCAGATAGTTGGGAGGCTGAGGCAGGATGATTAAAAGCTCAAGGCTAGGCTGGGAAATTTAGGGAGATTCTGTCTCAAAATAACAAATAGTAGTAGCTCAGTGTGAAGGCCCTGTGTTCAATCCTCTATCCTACTGAGGAACTGGGGGGCTTTTGCAAAGGGTTATTATATGCATGTGGCAGATCTGCCAATGTGTGTACCAGGGAAAATCTGAGTAGAGAATGGGACCACAGAATGTCTGCCACCCTGAAGTCCAGACTCCAATACCTGACAGTAGATATGATCACTGGCCTCGGTTGAATGAAGGTTCTAAAAAGCCAGTGTCCCTGAGCAAGGTGTCCCAGGGTGCTATGTGAGGGCAGAGAGGGGAGGAAGTGGAACATGTGCCTCACCTTGGAGTCTGTGGCCAGGAGCACTGTGCCATCCTCGCGGATCAGAGGCTGCTGGATGTTCACGAGCATCCCTGGGTCCAAGAGACCTGGCTGTCTGCTCAAGAAAAAGAAATCAGTGTGGCTTCTGGCAGCCACACAGTGGTCACCAGACCCCGTGGAGTCATGGTACCCACTCTGGCCCACGGCATCATATCCCCTGGGTGGATTTGATGCTGTCTTTTCAATGCTCTGGGGGTCCTGGCTTCCCTCTTCCCCTTCCCTTCCTAACAGGCTCACAGATCACAGAAAGAAGGCACCATTAACTTGCACTCTGTTGGGGATCTCAGCTCATGTGCTGTGTACACTGCAACCTTGCTCAGATACTGAGCTATGGATGACTGCTGTTCTAGGTGGAGATGCAGCCATGTTACCCTTTGGGGAACAGGGGCTGACCTTGCACCGTCCTTGTCGGCTACAAATGTGGGCGTGGCTATCAGAGGGCTCCGCAGGTCCTTCCGGATGTAGATTTTCTCCGTGGAAGCAGCACAGTTGCTAGGCTTTTCCCGCTGTACATCAAAGGGCTTCCGCTCACTCTGCACAGCTTCATTCACAAGGAGAGGACTCATGTTTACAGAGGACTCTGACAGGAAAAGCTACCCCTCCTGCACAGACACCTGTGCTGCAGGGTTCAGGGGCCAGCAGTGCGAGGTTGGTCTCAGGGCACATGGAGCACAGGGTCAGCAGCAGGTGTGGAATGGGCTCCTCACAGATCATCCTGGCTATAGCAGGGGAGCCCCCAACAGCCTCAAGACTTCGGCATTGTCCCTACCCATTCTCCTGCAGCCTAGCACCACATATGTCTCGGGCCACAGAAGAGATACAAAGTCCAGAGACTTGTGTTCCGGTATCCTGGGAGTCAAGATGAAGCCCAACTGGTCTCAAATTTGTAGTTCTCGCTGTAACTGCAGAAGTCTCCCCTCAGAGGACAGACATCACTGCTGATGGAGAAATGGCAGTGTGGGCCAGCTCGATGCCAACCTAGTGGTTCTGGTATTTTTCTTCCCTGGGTACTGGGGATTGAACCCAAGGACTTCATACCAAGCCACATTCACAGTCCTTTTTTCATTTTTTATTTTGAGATAGGGTCACCCTAAGTTGCTAGGTAGCACAGGCTGGGCCTCAGCCTCCCCATCCGGAAGGACATCAGCTTTGTTATTTACTTTGGGAGAAGAGTAAAATCACTGTGTAAAATAAAAACATTCAACTAGGCAGACACTGAATTGATCACTCTAATTTCTCAAAGGACACAGCTCTGCAGTGATCTGTGCAGTACTGGAATGCATTGTCTGCAGTCTTCCCTCAGAGTCAGGTACCCTCAGTGGGCCTGTTGTCTGGGCAGGATAGCAAGTGTGCCCTGCCTCTGTGACCCCAGGCCCTCAGAGCCTCTTGGGCACACATTTTCACCACCGAGATAGAAGTGACCCCCAGGCTGCTGGGTTTGGAATTCCTAAGCCCAGTTCTGGCTTGGGAGCTGGGAGGAGGGGCCCAGACTTCGCTGGTGCCCCATGCAGGGCACCCTCCTGCGCAGGAGTGGGAGGATGGGGCAGAGAGTGGGGACAGGGGCTGGGAGGCAGTGGGTCCCCAGCCTTGCAGGCAGTCAGTCCTTCAAGGGCAGGTCTAGAGTGCTCCAGGGTCTCAGCCTCCCTTGTCACAAGCGCCTCCCCCGTCCCACTGGCTGTCCTGGAGGAAGTGGAGCCACACCCTAAGCAGTTTCCCTTGACTCAGGCCCCACCCACCCCAGGCGGCTTTGCTTACACTCCATCTTCATGCCCATCTCCAGGCACTTCTTTAGCCGGCAGAACTGGCAGCGATTGCGGTGGTGCTTGTTGATTACGCAGTCTTGGCTGCTGCGGCAGCTATAGGTCAGGTTCTTTCTCACGCTCCTTTTGAAGAAGCCCTTGCAGCCTTCGCAGCTGACAGCCCCATAGTGCCGGCCTGGGAGGAGAGGGAGGAGAGGGTGCCGAGCTCCACAAAGCGTCTGTGCATGGTTTCTGTACCTACACACAATGGCACATTCAAGCAGCAAACTCTGTGCCCCTCTACCTGTAGCAGGGTGTCTGTGTCTGGCAAAATTACTTCAGGGCCCCCTCACACCCTGGTCCTATTTTCCTCAGGGCTGGGCTGGCTGGGCTGCAGACTCACTGGAGCAGTCCTGGCTGCTGTAGCCTGTCCAGGCCACCCCTTACCCATGACAGGAAAGAGCGTCCTGCCTCAGTGGACCCCTCTTGGTGCACAGGGCGCTGTCACAGACATCTCCCTTTCTTCCTGGCAGATGCGAACCTCTACCCAATGCTACTATGTTCCACAGAATGCCCACTTCTGATGGCCACTGAGGTTCCAGGTCTTAAGTTTCTAAGGCAGAATTGTTTTCGAGTGCATCTAGGGGACCCCCAAGTTTGCTCTTCTAGAACAGTGATGTAAAAACCACCGAGAGCACTGCTTTCCCTTCTTGGTGCACTTTGCCCTAGGGTGACTTGGGCTGTGTGCAACCAGAGGCCCTGCCAGGTGAGGGGACCACAGGCTGGTCTGCTGCATGCCTTTCCCTGCCAGGCAGGGGATGTGGGTTCTCTGTGTGACAGTTGGCGGGAAGACAGGTCTGCAACTCTCCGCAAGGAGTTAGTGCCAGAGGAAAGCAGAAAATGCCAGGAGGTCTGGCCCCATGGCCCTACTGCTCCTGGGGTCAACGGCATCAGGCTACCTTTTGGGGACAGGGAACAAGGCAGGCAGCCTGGGCAGAGGTAGGTGGCCTAGAGGGAAGCAGAAGGCTGGGCTGTCCGTCCAAAGGTTATGGCCCATCTCCTTCCTTCATTCCTCCCTTTCTTTTCTTTTGGTCTTTTTGAGACAGTCTCACTGTACAGTTCAGCCTGGCCTTCAACTTGTGGTGATCCTCTTGCCTCAACCTTCAAGTGTTGGGATTAGAGGTATGCACCACCACACTTAGCCTCCTTTCTAAATAAACACAAACAACCAAATCCAGGACAAGCAAGTGTCTAGCTGCAGCTGTGCCCTGTCAGCACCTCCCCTCTCCTGCTCCTTAGTGACTTTGTGGTTGGACTCCATCCTCCAGGTCCCTCCACTATGAGCACAGGTGTCACATGGCCCAGGCTGGCACTGTCCCTCCTGGGTGCAACCACAAGGGTGTCCAGGAGTGGCTACCTCTGGGGCTGTCACCCAGTGGGTCCAGGGATGGCCCAGGGAGGCCTCTTGTGGAGGGGCAGAGCTTGCACAAGCAGAAGCCAGGCATTTGCCACACAGAAACATGGTGCCCCCAGAGGCTCGTCATAGGAGTTGGTGCTCCATCTCCCTTTCGGTCTAATTCCTGAGAAGCCATTTTGCTTAATTCCTTACACTGATGGCAGCTCTGCAGAATGGAACCTGCATACACCACCCATGTACGCACACACATGAGGCTTCCTTAACGCCCCCAACCCCCAGCAGGCCACTTACCCGAGGCTTTGTCGCCACAGACCACACAGTATTCCACCACCTGTGGCCGCTGCAGCTCGGCCTTCCCCAGCAGCCGCTCCACAGACGCCGAATCCGTGACGATCTAGGGAGACCAGCAGATAGCTCACTCAGGACCAGGGCGAGAGCAGAGCGATGTGTAACTGACTGGCTGAGCTTGAGCAGCACCTGCGGACAACCTGGGTAGCCTGTGGCTGGGGCTCTGGCAACCACCCAAGAATGGGCCACAAGGAGTCATGTGGTGCTCCTAGAGAAGGGGGAGGTCCTCCCAGCACCTCCTTATCAGCAGTGCTGGAAAGGACTCCCATCGGTGTGTTTCCTGGGGACAGCTGTGGCAGGGGTCCCTGACCGCATGTCATCTGACACTTTGCAGGTGATGCTCTGGGAGACACAGTGTCAGCATTTGGGAGAGAATTAACTCTTGTCCCAATGAGGAAATTTAACCCTTCATGGGAGCCCAGGACATGCTTGCAGGGACCACACATACCACCATGTTGCTGTGGCCCTCTGACTGAGCAAGGGTACACTAAATACGCAGCTATCCTGGAAGTGAGTGCACTGGGCTCTGAGTCCAGCTCTGCAGAGAAAATCATTCTCTTCCTCCTGCAGTTTCCTCACAGTGGCAAGGGCCATTACATGGCTGTCAGGAGGAGACTCAGACACGTGCTCTAAACACAATGAGCCATGAGAGCACATTAAGGGAAATGAACCTGTCATAAGGGACATACTCTGTGAGACCATGGCTATGAGCTGGTCACAGGGGCTATTGGATTCACACAAATGGAAGTCACTATTCAGCAGGTCCAAAATGGTCACTTGTGAGTATCTCTATCTTGGAGCACTTGTATGCAACTCCCATAGCAGGGCTACCATGAAGGAGGGAGAGGTACAGACGGATGGCATACTCCTAAAAGTGGTTCCTGTGGTGAACCACTTATCATGTACATGCATCCAGAGGCAAAAAAAAAGATGTTTGGAACACACGGTGGTTGGAATAGGCCAGAGGGAAGGGTTCTCGTCCAGCCAGATCGCCCTAGGCAGCATCTCTGAAATGTACTGGGCTAAGCTGCCTGGACTCTTGCTTGTGAAGGGTTCTTAGGGGCTCAGTGCTACCTAGGATCCCAGGGCCTCCAAGGACAACAGTGGCCACCATGAGAGGTCGAGGCAGGCAGAGACAGAGCTGCAGGGCCTCACCTGGATCCTGCCTGGCACCAGGCTGTCTGATGTGGTAAAGATGAGCTGTTTGGCACTGGGTGTCTCCGGGGAAGCCAGGATCACCTTCCCAGGGCCAGCGCCATCGGGGCTGGTCAGGAGGAACTGCTGTTTGGAGGAGCCCGAGGCGTCCACTGCGGTGACAATCTGGATCTTCTGTCCCGTCTGCTGGTCTGTCACAATCTGCAGGGCAACGCAAGGCTGCGTGGTGAGTTCAGGAGCTCCAGGCCCTGAGACTCGCTGCTCCCGAAGTGTGCCATTGCCTGTGGTGGTGTGTGTGGGGTGGGACACAATCTCACAATGCTGATTTTATGCTAGGATTACAGCTTCAGCAGGAAGTGAAGGCAGTCACAGGTACGGATGATATGGTTAACTTCTGAAAGGTCCCTGTCCTGGCGCAGTGGAATGCTGAACAGGGTGTGCACAGTTGCTAACAGTCACCAGTCCTGTTACCTACAGGCTCCCAGGCCTTCCTTTGTCTCTTTCACAACCTCCTAACAAACTAGGTGTATCACCACTGCACAGCTGCAGGGGTTGAGAACTGCACAGTCACACAGCTAAGTGGGGACAGGCGACCCTCAGTCTGTTCAGCCCCAGCCAATGCTCTTCCTGTCTAGCCTGTCATCCATGTGAAATCATCCTTCCTTCCCTCCTTTCAGATGAAACCCAACTGTTCCGAATTAGAATATACTAAAACAAACAAAAAGCCAGGTGTGATGGCACAGTGCTTAAATCTAGCACTGGGAATGTTGAGGCAGGAAGACTGCCTTGAGTTCAAGGCCAGTTTGTCTCAAAAACAAAAACTAAAAATCTAAAAACAAACAAACAAACAAACAAATCCCCCCAAATCCAACCAAAGAGCACACTGAAGCCTAGGCTGGCTGTGAGATCACTGAGCTCACCAGCGGCCTGCATGAGAGACTGCACTGAGTGGTACCTGGTGCACCCAGTGTTGCTCACCGCTCACACAGCAAGGTTTCCAGCTGTGTTCACTCTATGGGGAGTGCCTGCCCACCCGAGGCTTTCCCCGATGGCCTCAGTTTCAGGCCGAGGGCAGATCAGCAACATGGGTGCTGAGCACCATGCCAGGGACAGTCGCTGCCTAGTGTGACAATATGGGGGATGTACACCTCCCTTAAGAACTCAGTGCAGCCTACAGAGACTTACAGCCTAGGTCCTTACCTGCCCCTGTGTCACTGGAGAGCAGAACCCAACAGGGTGCTCAGCAGCACCCTAGGATGAGATAAGGATAAGCATGCATCAGGCCCTGTTCAGGCACCAGTGCAGACAACAACAAGCAAGTGCATGTGGCTCCTAATCTGAGGATGACAGCCCTCTGGGTGTCTTCCCAGGTCCCCGACACAACAGACACAGCTTGAGGTGAAGATGCAAGAGCCACAACTCTTTGGCTTCTGTACGTACCTGGTGTAGGTAAGGCACTTTTCCTTTCTTTCCCCCCACCTTTTTTTTTGAGACAGGGCCTCCCTACCTAGACCAGGCTGGCCTCAAACTTACTGTGTAGCTCAGGTTGGCCTCATATTTGCTGTGATCCTCCTGCATCAGCTTCTTGAGTGCTGGGATGACAGGGGTGTGCTACCATGCTCAGTGTGGATAAGACTTCCTAAGGCATATCCCTCCCTCATCCTAATTCATCTCCAATTTGTAAAGTCTCTTTAAGAGTAGGGAGAAGCTGGGTGTGGTGGCACACGCCTGTAATCCTAGCACTTGGGGGGGTTGAGGCAGGAGGATTGCTGTAAATTTCAGACCATCCTAGGCTACAAAGTGAGCTCAAAGCCCGAGTGAACTGCATAGAGAGACCCTGTCTCAAAAAAAAAAAAAAAAAAAAAAAGTAAGGCAATGGTGGGGGTGGGGGGAGGCCCAGTAACAGCGCTGCAGGGTCCACACCAGACCCTCTCATCACCAAAGGCCTCTCCACCATGCTCTATACTCCTGCCCTGCTGTGCAACGTGGCTATGCTCTGGTTTGGCCTCTGGCCCCTCATGCACCTGCACTGTCATTCACAGTGTTGCTGCCCTCAGGTGCCTAGCTCATCAGTTCACAGGCATATGAGTGGCGATTAGCGAACACAGCATCACTGGTGACTTGTTACCAGGCACCAATAACCAGAACCCGTGGAACACCATTAAGTGCCAGCACCCTGGGAACATCCCATGGCTCCTTGCTACCAACTACAAGGCAAGCCCTGCTACCACCCATGTGGTTTCTAATGGGAAAGAGGGACATCCTTAGAACTGTGACTGCCCAGGACAGAAACTATTATCAGGGTACCAGTAAAGATGGTCCACTAGGCACCAGGCAGGGATCCAATGAGCATTCTTCCACATGCTATAGCCCCACAGTTCAGACTTCTGCTTTAGGAGTCAGTTAGAGCAGGAATAGTAGTGCATGTTTATAATGCAGCACTCAGGAGGTTGAGGCAGGAGGATTGCTGTGAGTCTGAGGCCAGCCTAGGCTACATAATGAGGTCAAGGCTAGCCTGTAGTAAATAGGGAGACCCTGTCTCAAAAATCTAAAAACCAAAACTGAAACTCAGTGTGGTGGTGCACGCCTGTAATCCCAGTAATCCCAGCATCGGGAGCTTGAGGCAGGAGGTTTGTCATGAGTTAGAGGTCAGCCTGGACTACACAGTGAGACCTCTGTCTCAAAAAAAAAATCCTAAACAACAACAAATTAGTGACATGAATATCAGCTGTGCCCTTTGCTGAGAGCTGGGTCTGTCCCGGATGGGTGGGCGATACCTGGATACGCTGGGGTGAGGCAACTGCAGAGTCGGTGGAGATGATCTGGATGCGCGGGGAGGGGCTGGTCATCCCTGGAGCTTCAGGCTGCAGGGTCTGTGTACGTGGGACCTGCAGGAGATCACGGGTCAGAGGTGAAGCTGAGGCATCAAACAGGGTGACTAGACTGATGAGAGTCAGCCCTAGGGGTGCAGGCACAGGAGGTATGAGAGGGCCTCAGTTCTCCCTGTATACTCAGGAGAGCCTCCCAGTAATCTTCAGAGACAGGCTTGGGATCCTCCTCCCTCCCCAGCCAGCTGCACACTCCAGATGACTGCTGGAGGCATGAGCAAGGCAGGGCCAACCTGACACTCAGGAAGGGTCCCTTTCCCCAGTGCCAGAGTGACGACATTGGGAAAAGCTCGCAGGAGCACTCAGGCCTAGAGGTCAGTCAGTGCCCACCAGAGTGAGGCTGAAGGTCCTGAGTGTCCACTGGTACTCGAATTCTATACTTGAAGGCATTACTATCCTGGGTTAAAAGTAGAACATGAACTGCCAGGTGTGGTAGCACATGCCTGTAATCCTAGTACTGGGGAGGCTGAGGCAGAAGGATTACCATGACTTCAAGGGCAACCAGCTACACAGTGAATTCAAGGCCAGCCTGCATTGCAAAGTGAGACCCTATCTCAAAAAACCAAATCATAACCAAAAAGAAAAACACAAAATAGTTAATCATTGTATCATGAGCCAATCAATACCTTAAAAACCACAAATAGAGAAGAGAATATTCCTTAACTCATTCTCTGGGGCCAGTATTATCTGATACCAAAACAGGACAGAGACATAACAAGAAAACTATAGGCCAATATTATGAGTAGAGATGTAAAAAAAAAAAAAATTACAACCAAAAAAAGCACACAAAGGCAGATAGACCACACTAGAGTGAGTTTATCTGGGGCATATATGGCTGACTCAAAAGTTTAAGACACTACACTAACAGAATAAATTAAATGACCTACATACAGAAAAACCTACAGAATCCACAGGAAAGTAAAATGATTAGGGCAAAAAAAAAAAATTAGTTCCAAGGCTGCAGGACACAAGATCAATGAACAACTGACTGCATTTCTACCCAATAGCCACAGCTGTTTAAAAGGAAGTCAAGGAAACGGGAAGTGCCACCAATGTGACATCAGAGTATTTAGCAACAAACAGCCAAGCAAGGGCAGAAGATCTAATGCTATGAGATGGCAAGCCTCATAGTGACTTACGGATGTAAGTAATCCCTACCAAAAATGCAGGTGCTTTTTTAAAATTTTAAACAAATCAACCAGCTGACCGTAAAACTCACATGGAAACACAAAGGACCCAGAGTAGCCAAAAGGATCTCGCAAAAGCAAAGCAAAGTTGGAAGACTAACACTTCTTTCCAAAATGGAATACAGACCTACCCTAGTCACGACAGCATGGGATCCAGCAATCCTAATTTTGAGCATTTACCCAAAGGATATGCACATAACGAACTCAGTCCGCCACCTGCAGTGTGTGGACAGAGGAGCAGAATCCATGCTTTTAAGGGCAACGTGCAACATCAGGGACACATCTGCATGTTTCTGCTTCTGTGTAGCATCTGAGGTGAGCAAGGGCATAGAACGAGGACAGAATGTCACATCAGAGGCTGGGGCTGGACAAGGAGAGGGATGACGGTCCCAGGAGACAGTCCACACACCCATGTGGTGTCTTTAGATCTGCAGAGTTTGGAGTGTGACTGCACACCGCGCATTTCAGAGCTGCTGGGGCCAAATTCATGCGCTCCATCTTGTGCTGATTAGTTTGCCTCAATCACTCCATACCGCACGTGAACTCCACATCACTACAAACCGCATTTACAATGCAAACATCACTGTGGAGCGAGCCAAAACAGACAGAGGGACACACAGAATGATGGGACAGAACTGAGACCTCAGAAAGGAGCTCACAGATGCTCAATGATCCTGATATGCAGAGACAACCATGGGTCAGCAAGGGGAAGGGGCGTGATGACCTAGTGCTGTGTGGATCTGAGTGACTGTGCCTTCAAAGGCGTAGCTTTTTTCTTTATTGGGGTGCTGGGGAGCAAACACAGGCAAAATTGTTTTCTTACTGCAGGTGAAGCCTGCTGAGGACTTTACTGGGATCAGCTCAGACCTCTGGGGCACTGGGCTCTTCCTAGGTAGCCAAGTGGAACTCTGCTCGCTGAGCACCAAGCCTGTGCCACAGGCCTGTTGCCCGTCTTCAGCACAGGAATGGACACAGAAACATTCCCTTGAATAACCTGCTGACGCCAAAAACATCACGCCCAATGAGAGACGCCAGTCACAGTGACACAATCACAGGGTTTCATTTGCCTCCAATCAGTGCAGGCGAACCCACATGCAGAGGAAGGGCTCAGTGGTTGTGCAGGGGACCAAGGCCTGGGTTTCTTTCTTGAGTAATAAAGTATGCAGGAACCAGGCAGTGGTGACAGTTGCACAACTGTATGAAAAACTAAAAACCAAGCTGGGTGTGGTGGTGTACCCCTCTAATCCTGGCATTCAGGAGGCTGGGAAAGAGGATTGCCATGAGTTCAAGGCCAGCCTGCACTATACAGAGAGAGCCTGTCTCAAAAAACAAAACAAAATGAAACAAAACCTCACAAAAATACATTCTGCAATGTGAAGAGCTCATTTTTGTTTTGTTGCAGTGCTGGGGACAGAAACCCAGGGCCTTGTGCATGCAAACAAGTGCTCTCCCATTTAGCTATGCCAGTCCAAGAACTGTACTTTATTTTTTATGTTTTGATTAGATTTTCAGACAGGATCTCACTACGTAGTCCAGAGTAGCCTTGAACTTTTTAGTCATTCTCCTGCCTCTGCCTCCCAAGTGCTGAAATGCAGCAGTGCGCCACCATCCCATCAAGACACTATAAACAGGTAAACTGGGTGTTCCGTGAATTGTATCTTAAACTGGTAAGACTGTTTTAGCTGGATGTCATGATACACGGCAGTAACCCAGGCTATTTGACAGGCTGAGGCAGGAGGGTTGTAAATTATAGCTCTGCTTGGGCAACTAAGAGAGGCCTTGTCTCACAGTGAAAGGGGAGGGAGTTTTGCTTAGTGGTATAGCACCCTTAGCTTTGAACCCCAGTACTAGAAAAAACAATTCAGGCAACAAGTGAACAGCTCCCCCTGTGTGTGTGTGTGTGTGTGTGTGTGTGTGTGTGTGTGACGCTGCCCCACAGACATTCTCCAAAATCATTCCTGAGATGTTACACTCCAGTCAAGAATTGTGTGTGTGTGTGTGTGTGTGTGTGTGTGTGTGTGTGTGTGGCTGCCCCACAGACATTCTCCAAAATCATTCCTGAGATGTTACACTCCAGTCAAGAATTGTGTGTGTGTGTGTGTGTGTGTGTGTGTGTGTGTGTGGCTGCCCCACAGACATTCTCCAAAATCATTCCTGAGATGTTACACTCCAGTCAAGAATTGTGTGTGTGTGTGTGTGTGTGTGTGTGTGTGGCTGCCCCACAGACATTCTCCAAAATCATTCCTGAGATGTTACACTCCAGTCAGGAAGTACTTTGCAGAGACTCCCAAGAGCTGCTTAAATCCCTGAGTCTCAGAGAAAGGTAGTCCACACTTTGTGGGGACCTTGACTATGGGGAGATGGGGACGAGCGCTATTGCCACACTGGGCAAGGACATGGCTAGCCTCTGGCTTTGTGAAGAGGAAGCGGGAAGCCTTGGGGTGACTTTGTAGCTCTGTGGCACCAATGTCAGGGACATGGTACATGTGTGCAGACTTTAAGTTCCTCTATTGCGCAGTCCAAGCCTTTCCCCAGAGGGGCATGGCCCCCCAGCAGTAGACTCAGTGAAGAGTTCAGACAGAGTGAAGAGTTTAAATATCCTGACGCTAGAAGTGACCTGTCACTGGGAAAAGAGGAAGTATGGACTGGGCAGCAGGCAGGCCCTGGGTTTGATGCTACAAAAGCAGAGAAAAATAAAACAGTAAGTGAAAGGGAGGAGTGGTGGCCCTAGGGGCATTTACACCTGGCTTTGCTGAAACCAGAGTAAGGACTGGTGGAGCCTGAGCACTTCTGCAGCCACTGGGCACCAGACCAACCTCCACTGGGGGTTGTTCGTGAATTATATCTTAATGTGTGAAAACTCACCTTGAGACAAGGTATCACTATCCACCTGCTGCAGAGCCTGCATGCAGCTGCTATGCACAGCCTCTCCTGTCACAGAGGACAGGTCACTAAATGCCTGCTTGAGAGTGGCTGCCAGTGACATCCTGGCCAGTATAATTATCCGTGAGCAGGGGAAGGGAGTCCCAGGATCCCAGGGAAACTATGAAAGTGGTCCTGGCCCTTTCAGGACTGACTTGGACTCTGCACAGGGGCATAGCTGTTCCCAGGTCAATCTGGTGGAAATGGCTCCTCCCACAGCCCTCAGGGTGAAGGGGACACAAGAGGTCCACAGGTGCAGGGGTGGGAGGGCAACCTGCTTCACACCCAGGTCCCTGCCTGGATCTCAGTGGGGTCCCAGAAGTCACAATGTGACTAGCCAATCTCCTCTAGGCCAGTGCTGCACCTCTGTCACCACCACTGAAGAGTTTGGGTTGGTTTTTCTTTTCTTTTTTTTTGGTCTTTTTGAGACAAGGTCTTACTATGTAGTTCAGGTGGTCTTGAACTCACTTTGTAGCCCAGATTGGCCTGGAACTCAGAGATCCTCTTACTTCAGCTTCCCAAGTGCTGGTATTACAAATGTTTGCCATTATACCCAGTGTGGGTTTGTTTCTTTTTTAAGGAAATAACTGTTAGAAACAATTTTCTGGTTTGTATGCACAATCATTTACTGAAAGACAAATATCAGGATTGAGGATGGTGCTTACAGTACTAAAGTAACATACACATTACAACTTAGCAAGACCTAGCTCAAAAATAAATAAATAAAAAGGGCAGGGGCTATAGGTCAGTGTGAAAGGCCCTAGGTTCAGCCCTCAGTATCAGTTTTGGTGGGAACATTCCCAGGTATGACCAAGAGGGTGATAGCATTCACAGGGTGACAGCTTGGTGTGGGAACCGAACCTGACTTCTGCCACCATCCCCCTGTCCTGA